TCCTTCCGATTCCCTTCCTTCCCCTTCCTTTCCCTTTCCTTCCTTTCATCCTTTCCTTTCCTTTTTCCTTCCCTTCCCTCTCCTCTCCTCTCCCCATTTTTCCTTTCCTTTCCTTTTCCTTCCTTTCCCTCCATCAAAAGAGCCAAGTCACAAATTGTCACTCAACACAACCAGAGATACTGTTTACCACAGGCTCTGTAAACCCAACGGATTTCATCATTCCTCCTTGGTTTTTGTTAGAACTCCTGTCTCCCTAGAGACTCTCGGTCTTCAATAACAACAGGCAGCCTCTGCAGATTAAGTCTTCCCTGGGTTAAAATAACATTAATCTCAGGGCAGGACAAAGCAGAGAGGCTTCCAAAGGCAGCTACTGAAATTCAGCAAAAAGGTGACATTTATTTATAGTGGATTTAAAGCCAATTAGATCCTGATCAGTTTATTAGCACTAGGAAACCTGCAGCCCAGAATGCCTCTTGGTTCTTAGAAGAAAGAAAACAATAAATGAGAAACTTTAGGAATTGCAGTTTTAACATATTGCAGGGACCTGGCTATATACTACCTATACATATAGGTAGTCCTCCTCTTACAACCAGAATTGGGACCAGAATGTCCATTGCTAAGCAAAGTGGTTGTTGGCTAATTTTACAACCTCTTTTTGCTACAGTTGTTAAGCAAATCATTGCTGTTGTTTAAGCGAATCACATGGATGTTAAATCAATCTGGCTTTCCCCATTGCTGCTTGGAAGCCAGCTGGGAATGTCACCATGCCAGATGCCAAGAGCCCCAAATTTTGATCGGATGCCATGATGTAAGTCGAGAACTACCGGTCATGTTTTATTTACTTCTTAAATTTATATGCCGATCCATCTCACCCATAAGGCAATCGTGGCACTTGTACTTCATGTTTTTTAAAAAAGGAAAACTAATAAAAGATATCGTTCCCCTTTAGCACATCTTGTAGTTTTGTTTTAAATGACCCTATATTTCCCCTCTTTTTTCCTTAAGTAGCAGATTTTTCAACTAATATCTTGTGCTGCTGTGTTTGTTTCAGTGAGACCTTGGTGGGATATAATAATCATTGTAATAAAATGATTTTATGCCTTCTTTGAAGGCATAAAATCTGTCAGACTGTTAACAAGATTTTAGGCTTGTTGCTGGGTGCATGAAAAATGTGTATAATCCTAACTCTAATTCTATTATTTAGAATTTATAAAAACAATGTGAATGTCTAGACCTCTTTATTCATAGTGGATGGCCAGAAGAATGATTCCATCCCAACAGAAAAATAAAATCATACTTGATTTGCAACCCAGAATGGATAATACCTCTGATATACTAGCATTCGTAGGTCTGTTTTGGCAGAAAAGGTGGCTTGCAAGCAATCTAATGTAAATTTTCAGGACAAATCTGCATATGATATAATTTTCCAGGGCACTTTTTAAAAAACATTTTCTATTCTTTTAATATCAACACCCCATTGTTAGTATTACCAATGATATCCTCTGTTGTTGTTGCTGTTTTGGTTTGATACCCCCGCCAGAAAACCTCTCAACACTGTGATTCTAGCAACACACCACAAGTTAACTGGATGCAAAACATTGGCCCACGCTGACACCCTTCTACTGTGGGCAGCTTCCGGAAAAGCGCCTGCCAATCACCTCTCATTTTTGCCCAGCTTGCAATCCCAGAAAGCGGATTCCTGATCAGAGGTGATCCCAAAAGAAACGGGCCACATTCTGCTGTCCATCAGCACCTACCAGCGGGGGAGTTGAGAGCAGCACAGAGCAGGCGAAGGATTCGAGACTTACATGGTAACTTACAAGGGGGCGGAGACAATCCACTACGGTTTAAAGTGCCACCCATTAAGACAAAATTCATCTCCTCCCCTGAACACTGGAAGACTTCCACGTAACGGTCCTTCATCATTTTCTTGTGACACTTCTGGGCCACCAAGAAGGCTCGGTCGGAAGATTTCATTTGGATAAAGGCATCACCTGAGGGCCGGCCCTGGAAGGAAGGAAGGAGCAAAGGAAGGAGCAAAGGAAGGAAGGAGAAAAGGAAAGAAGGAAGGAAAGAACAAGAAAGAAAGAAAAATATTGGTTAGTGACCTTGTGAAGTAGAAAGGAACAAACCTGCATTCAGCATTTCACACTGCACATTGTGTCTAGCTTGTGTCTTGCGTAGTAGATTTCCTGACATTGGGTACCATATGCTAAATAAACAACTTGTGCTGCTGTGTTTGTTTCAGTGAGACTTTGGTGGGATATAATAATCATTGTAATAAAATACAAATATCTTCAAACAGAAGTAGAACAACGGTGGTCAAAGAAACGAAAGGTAGTACCAATAGTAATAGACCGCGTGGGCACAATCTGGGCACAATGTCTTCAAAGAAAAACCAGAAACTCTTAGAAAAGCACCTTTGGGACAACCATGACCTGGATGATGGAGAGTCTCCTCCATAGACATATCTGGAGCACCACTTGAACACCATCAGCACTGACAAAAATCACCTTCGGTCAATTGCAAAAGGCAGCTTTGCTTGGAACAGCTGACATCCTATGACGATATCTCTAATACCATCAAACATCCACATCTGCCTCTCAGGTCCTCAAGAAGATCTCAATAGATGGATAACAAGGCCAAATCCAATCTAAACATCTGGCTCACTGTGGGGTCAACCATAATAACGTTCCACAGTTGACTTGCATAGTTTCCCATTGTTTCATTGGCTATGGGTTTAGGTTTTTGTTATTTGTGTTTTTGCATTTAAAAAAAGAATCACAAAAATATTCCCTTTGCTTTTCTTTTGCAGCATAAAGTAAACTGGTTCTTTTCATTTGTATTCATGTTTATCCTGGACTAACTCCAAGTCTCTATCTTTTAATTTCATTCTGGGAAGCTTGGCCAACTCCGTATCGTTTTCAGCTAATCTTATTACACAAGCTAAGATGGATACTGCTGATATTCTACTAGTTTTCCTTCTTCTTTTGCAAACAAAGAAATACCATGTGCTTTCCCAGACATTTTCATCAGATATCCAAGACGGATTATTGGCAGGATTAAATCTGAATGTTCCACATTTCCTTAGAGAACCAAATTATCAGACAGAATTAACAAGGTCAAAACTCCTAATTCAAAAGTACTGTATAAGCAGATGAACTTTATGGAACTCTGCTTGCAAATACAACTAGGCTGATCAGAATGGCAAAATAATTATTCAACAATGTGTTTTGTGTTTTGACATCCAGAAGCAAATGACGGCATCACTAAACCTACCAAGATATCTTGTCCTCAAGCGGTTAGTTAAAAAAATGTTGGGAGGGAATTTCTAATCAGACGTAGAAAGTGGAAAATTGCAACCTTGGATCAAGAAGAGAAATCTTTAGGAAAAAGACTGGAATATGTAAAGCAGAAAGGTGTGAGAAGATCGCAATCCCTGGAGATTTTTAGCAAGTTGCAGCATGATCTTTAGTCATGCAATTCCTAGCAGATGGAGAAATTCTAGCAGGCTGTTGCTGGCTTCAAACGGGCATAACTACTTTCTTGAAATGCTGGGTGACAGCAGTTGCTTTCAACTCCCATGGCTCCCAACCCTGTTAACTATCAATGTTTCTTTGAGTCTTTCCTTTCTCCCTCCTAATGAAAAATATGGGCCAATTGTCCAACTGCCTAAGGTAGGACTTTTCAAAAAAAAATTTAGCCCAATTTTAACTGTTTCAAGGTGGCAAGACCAATGTGCCAATGATTCATGGTGCTTAAGACTCCATGCCCCATGTTGTTATTATTTTAACACAGAATAAAGGAGCGCTATGTCTATGGCTACTGGCTTTTCTTGGTTTTCACTTTGAGATAATTTTGCTTCTCAAAACAGAAGCAGAATTGAAGAAATTTCTAGAATGGGAAGTGGAACGTTTTCAGGTTAAAACCTAAGGAAGTCCGCTTGCCTTTTGAAAAGAACTTTTGAGATAAATGAGCACTTTGTGCTTCAAGAAAACTTCCAGATCTCATAAACACCCCAAACCCATTTTTAGGGTGGGGTGGGGTGAAGCAATTATGGATCACTTCCTTGGAAGTAGGTCCACCTATCCAGAAAAAGGACAAAAGGAAGCTGAGGATGGTAGAGAGGTTCCAATAAGACTCTTGTAGGGATGGAAGAAAACCCCAGTCATGACCACCTTCTGGTTTATGGTTGCTCCATTCTACCCCTAGGACAACCCCTCTGTGAGATACCCACAACAGGTGCTGAACACTTGCATGGGGAGCCAATGGCTCCCAAAGCTTGAGGACATTACAACACTTTCATACTTGCTGGTTCAGGACCATGTGAACTCCATGCGGTTTGATGTCTCCGGTTGCATCGCCCATGAACTCCAAAATGTCATCAATCCCAGCTGTGTAAGGCAGGCCTCGGAGGCGGACACAGTCTCGCACACTGCCCGCAGCGATGGTGTAAGGAGGAGGGATGACAGGGACGATCGGGGTAGGAAGAGTGGCAATCAGGGGAGCTGACATGTATCGGTTGAGAACCTGGGGGAAGGAGAAAGTTCACCGAGAGTGAGAACAGCTCTTTAGATATAGCAATAGAACTTAGATTTATATACCGCTTTATAATGCTTTACAGCCCCTCTCTAAGTGGTTTACAGAGTCAGCCTATTGCCCCCAACAATCTGCGTCCTCATTTTACCCACTCAGAAGGATGGAAGGCTGACTCAACCTTGAGTCGATCAGGATTGAACTGTTGGTAGTGGGCAGAGTCAGCCTGCAATACTGACTGGATGGATGGATGGATAGAAGGAAGGAAGGAAGGAAGGAAGGAAGGAAGGAAGGAAGGAAGGAAG